GTATATAATTGAGATTGAATTAAAGTATTATTTAAAGTATTAAAGATCCAGTTTCGACCGGTATAAGCATTTAATTTCTAAAAAGAATACAATTTTATTGCGAAAACAAAATGATAAAAATGACATTTGATTTCATGTTTTTAAAAATATATTTTCAGTCAAGTATCATTTTTGAAACGGAATGCATAATGGAACGCATATAGTTATGCATGCTGTACCTAGTGCAACGCAATATTTCATTTCAGCTAATCCAGAAACTTGTTGGCCAAAATATATAATCGCGTACGTGATAAATAATGAACCCACGTGTGCACGCAATGTATAACCATGTACATTCCGGAGTTCTGGCAATATAGAATATACTATGAACGTCAACAGCAGGAACGGCAAAGACAATAGGTGGCACACGGATACATATACTGGAAGTTTTGTCTGATTATTGCAGATGATCACGTCGTATACATTCCGAAACAAAATAGCAAAGCAATAAGACTTTGGTGAAATGAATTCGCCAGTAACCGTATACAAAGAGCCATTGGTGAGAAACAAGTATGTATTGGCAAAAACAAATTGGCGACCATATCCTTCTGCAATGCATGGATCACGAACAGTCAAAAATAGTTCGTCAGATATTTCATCCTCGGAATCATTCTTCTGTTTGTTTGGAAGAGCGTATAAGTTTGGAAGAGTGTATTTATTCTCTCCACGCATCGTTTGTTCGACGCATCGTCCCTTTACTGTCAAGTTATAGCCGTTCTGGCAACAGAGCTGGATACAAGTAATGTTATCTGTGCACTCGTCATTTTTAACAAAGATAGTTTTAATTGTTCTGTTGGAATCGTCGTGTTTGTACGATATGGAATTGTTCTTATCTTCAGTTTTAATGAAATTTTCATTAATTTCTGGTAACGTGAAATTATTGATCTCTGTCGAATTCGTACAGAACTCCATAGATGTCTGATTATTATCTTCGTGATTTTTTATTATATGTTCACGAGACTCGTATAGCACCGAGTCATTCTTGCAATTATTTTTTGTAGAATTAATACAGGATTCATATTGCATTTGATTCTTATTCTTAACAGAATTTTCGTATGAGTTGCACCGTGCTAGTTCCATTTCTTCATTTTGATATTTCGTAGAATTTACAAGAGAATCAGACTGCATTGTCGAGTTCTCGCTTTGCTCATCGCCATTCGTAAAATCTTCCTGAAATTCCGAGAACGAAGCAACAAGCAGAAATGCGAAACAAAGTACGATACTTGATGAATACATCGTTAAATTATTGAAGCGTCGAATTCACAAAATCAACTTGGTTTTTCTTTATCTTGCAAATAAATATTTAGCGTGATATTGTCGATTCTGGAAAGAAGCACAATGGCTTTATTCTGCAATGTTTTGTCTGAAAAATAAAAAAAAAAGAGATTTTTGGAATAAGCATGCGAATGCAAGTTAGAAAGATCGATGACATCAAATGAAGAAGGTACCTCACAAGCAGATACTTTTATGGCCCTTCTTTGACCATAAATAATGACAAAGCGACAAGGAGATTTCTTTCCTTTTGAATTTTTTAAAGAATTAATCTCTAGAGGTTCAACACGATTTTTTTAGAATATATTATCTAAGTTACTATGTAAAATGATTCATAAAAAAGTGATATAGCTAGAAAGCGCTACATCTCGATTTAATAATTAATTATACGCGAAGGAGAACAGTTTTATTTGTTTAGAGAGATTAATTCCACGTATTGCATGGTGATTTTTATTCTAGATTAATACAAATAAATATAAAAAATGCATATCAATTATACATATAATGTACAAAATGACATTAAAATATTCCCTCGAATCGATTGTGTAGCTAGAAGTGAACAGTTTAATTCACTTCCAGTGATAAATGAAACGAACAGACAGTATTAAACCACACCAATTACACCGAAAATTTATAAATTGTGAGCTGTATTGATTATAAATAAAGTAGAATTAAGGATTAAGTTGTTAAAACTACTTCTTTCATTACATTTTATATAATGTTATCGTACTTGAATTATGATGATCGATTAATATACATTAATCTATCAAATTTAAGTTCCAGGATGCAAATTTTTTACAAAGTCCTTAACTAATTTTCTCTGACATCATTCCATATTTATGATTATTATTCAAGGACTTTATCGATCATATGCGGCATATACACAATAAGAATTGTATGATATAATTACTTTGCTTCTTTATCCGGTTTTTAACTCAACCGGTTTGTATTGAATAAGGAAATTTATAAGAAAAACATTCTTTCATTTATACTCTTTTACTTATTTATATATGATTACACAATGTTGTAGTTACGACAAGTTGTAGTTACCACAAGTTTAATTATAGTAAAAGTAAAGAAAAAAACAATTGTTTTACAAGATAAAAGTAATTAATTTAAGTGATACATTATTTGAGAAAAATAAATATAGTTCTTATATATGATAAATGATAGTATCATTAATGAGTGATTTTTATTTAGTAAAAAAACCTTTGTAAAAAAGATTTGCATCACACATCGAATTAATAACACAATATATGTTATTTACTGAGAACGTCTTGGGAAAAAATGTTTTATATATAATTATATAAAATTATA